CAGATAAATATGAATTAATAAGAATAAAAAGTTCATGTATTATATGAGATTCCTAAAATTTCTATCTTTATAGTCACCAAATAATGGGAAAAATTCATTGAAATAGTTAGCTAAAATCAGGATTTTTTCTATTTTGTAGACCTTCTCTTTGTTATTTATCACTTGATGTTTTTAATGCTACAAATCAGGAAATGGAATTGGAATATGGTGATAAAAAATGGATACAAATTGATGTTCAGAATACCTGTCGCATTGTTATTCCAGTTCAGCGTTATTGTTTAAATTCAACTTTAAATTTTGGCAGCAAATCTAGTAAAGAAGAAAATATCAAATTAGAGCACATTTGTCAAAAACATTTGCATGATTTCATTAATTTGAAATGGACATTAATATCCTTTACTTAAAGTTTATTATTATTATTATTATTATTATTGTAGATTTTAACTATGTTGATATTAAATTGAACAATTTTTTTAATGTTGATATTTATAAAATATTTTTCCTTAATTAAAATCCACCCAGCTGTAGAAATAAGTGGAATTGCATCTTTTAGTCAAATTGATAATTGGACAGCTTCCAAATTAGATGCATTAATTGTTTCACCTCTCCAATGGGGTAAATATATAATTTATAAACATAGAAATTCAGCACGCTAAATATAAAAAAACATTCAAAATTAGCTCTATTATAAATATATACAGAAGTTAATTTTGAATGTTTATGATAGCTACTAGCTTTACATAAATTATATCTGTTTATAAATTTATAAACTACATTGTAAATCAAGTCAATAAAGCAAGTGGTTTATTCTCATATATTTGGGTATACTTATGATTTATATATTGTTTAAATTAATAGAAAGTAAATCTGTATATGCTAAAAATATTTTTGGTTTTGAATATATCTGGTAATATAACTAATTCTCTGTTATAGTTATTGAGTTTTATATATTCGTTTTAGCTTTAAAATTTAAAAAAATTACATTTGAAGGTAATAGTTCTTCAGCTTATGTAATGGAACTGAAATTTTCCAGTTTCCAACTTAAACATTATAAAAAGTTAAATATTTTTCAATCATGTAAAATATATGAAACTGAAACAGCTTAACTGGAGAATAGATGGCTGGTTAGTTGAGTAGTTAAGGTGTCAGCCTAGCTCTCTGGAGGCCTAGGAATGAATCTAAATGAGCTTAAAAAATCCCAGGAATTTTTCTGGGGTGATCAGTCTGGAATATATCAGGCTCCATCCTTCACTGCCTTTCTTTTTCATCAAACTCATCATGAGTTTAATGAAAAAGGCTCTCTTAGTGCCCAAGAGCAGAAAGAGTCAAAACAAAATTGAAGAATAAATAATATTCCTTTAAAATTAAAATTTTATTTTATAAATCAAAGACAATTAAAGCTTATTTCTAAATTTTTAAGTAAAACATAAAGTCATTATTTATTTTATCAATATATTAGTATTAAATTTTTAATATCGTAAACATGTTAGTATTATTGAAATATTAATGAGATTAATAATAATAATGTTAACAACAATGTTTTTATTTGGATTTTTAGCAGTTTTCATTAATAATGATCCTCCAGGAATGGAAGATTTTAGTTTTGTCATTGGAGAACTTATTCTAATTTCTGTAGATTTACAAAATATTTCTGGTAAGTGATTTTGAAAAATATTATATGTGTTTTAAGTTTTAATTAAAAATTACAGCACTGAATACACCAACCAGTCAAAACAATATGACTATCCCTTGTCAGCAACATACATATGTCATTCTATCAGCTATTATGTACCCCCATCAAATGGGTGCATAATAGCTGACAGAAGGTTGCACAATCAATAGTAGTTATCAGTAGCGTACGGTGACATTTTGATGATAGGGAATCTGTGCCGACCCTGGATAGAATTATTGGAAGCGTTATACAATATTTTGGTGAGTAGCATCCACCAGCTAAACTGCGTGAGGTTGGTGCCCTGTAAATCACATGCATGAATGCCTGTAATCTGGCTGCTTTACACCATTTAAATATTTTTGCCATGGAAGTTATCCCATATTTGACAATACAGAGCTTCCATTCCACTACTTATATTCAAATATACAATAGCAATCTTATCATTTTTCTCACATGTAGTATAGAAATTTGTAATAAGATACATAATGCAGTTATAATAAAATATTAATTTTAATTAATNTGTCACATATTCGATAATACAGAGCTTCCATTGGGAATATGCATATACGAATTTATATTTGAATATACAATAGCAATCTTATCATTTTTCTCACATGTAGTATAGAAATTTGTAATAAGATACATAATGCAGTTATAATAAAATATTAATTTTAATTAATTCAAAGAACATTAAAATATAAAAATAATCGCACAATATGTATTTATATTTTAGAAAATACAAGGGAAGCGGCACTTCCACAGCTTCCATGGACAGCACACCTCTGGTAGTTATTGTGTGCAAATGGTTAAAGCAGTAGATTTGTCTGACTTCACCAATGACCAAATTTAATAGCCAGACACCTTGATGTTAACACCTTTGAAATGGGGCTGTTTGTGTTCATCTGTGGTAAGTCTCAGCTTCAAACAATGAACTAACAACAAGGCATGGCTAACAAAACCTTGTTGATGAAAGAGGTTGGCATAAGCTGTCTCATCTTGTGTGAAGAAACAGGAGGGTTACTGTGATACATTTCTCTTACTCTTTATATAGTGATGATGGCATGGGTGTGTCTGAACACAGTATTATTTGAATATTTCTGAATGTAGGTCTAGACTAGGCTCCAGACCTAGTCTTGTGTCTGTGTTAACAATGTACATCACTGACAGTGCTTGCAAAAAGCATGTTAGCATCAAAATTGAACTGTTGAGAAATGGGAAAAGGTTGCCTGGTCCAACAAATCATGATTCATACATTCTTTGATGTAACTCCAATTGAGCATTTGTGGTTTGAGTTGGAGAATTTGATTCGTGATACATCACCTAAACCACATAATTTTCAGGAACTAAAGGCTCTTCTGGTGGCATTATTGTTTCAACACTCACTAGACACTTATCAAAATGTTATAGAATCCATGCCTTGCTAGTTGTAGGCTGTTTTGACAGCAAGAAGAGGATTAACAACCTGTTAAGTATGTGATCATAAATGTTTTGGCTAGTCAGTGTAGACTGGATCAAGTATTTTAACTTCCCATATAATGTAATAGTTTTTATTACTCAAAATTTACAGTCTATTTAAATGTGTATATTAATAATTGTGAAACTTTGTACTTAATGATTTCATTTATACTTATTATTTATCTTATTATTAAATACTTTTATTATAATGATTTTAATTTCCAATAAATATACATTTTGATTTATAGCATTTAAATATGATTTTTGAGTACATAACATAATGGAAAAAGTTATTGCAATATTAACAAATTCTAATTATAGAAACAAGTAATTGCATTATTATATAGATTTCAGATAAATATGAATTAATAAGAATAAAAAGTTCATGTATTATATGAGATTCCTAAAATTTCTATCTTTATAGTCACCAAATAATGGGAAAAATTTAATTGTGTAGGTGTTGAACTATTTCTGTTTTTTTACTTGTGTAGTTTTTCATTTATTTATTAAAAATAAATACAGTAGCCCCTCATTATATCACGCTTGTTGAAAGACAAAGAAAAGGCACAATATATTTGGAGGGATGATATAACTGAGTATTAAAACTTCTGGGCTTTTACTAAACAGATTATACATTCTATGGAATCTCTATCCTCTATTCTTTTATCAGCAAGTGTTTCTGATATAAAATAAGCTTGGTTTTTCAATATTGAATTTTATTTGTAGTTATATCATCTTAATTGAGATTTACGTAAACATCAATACCACGAATGCCCATTCAACATTATTGTGTTTTTAACAATGACATTTAAAGACAAATACTGTTGATATAAAAACAAAATACGTATCAGTTGCGATTTTGTTATAAGTAGGTTACTATATTTTATAATAAATCGTTTATTAAAAATTCATGTAATTTATATTTTTCAATAAAAATTATAAATACAGTAATTGAAAATTTAAAAAATAAATATTGGAATATTGAAATTGGACATATAATAGAACATTAAAACTTATAAAATTAGAATAAAAATTTTCTTAAAAGCAAAATTAAGTTACTACTGTAAACAAATTTTAGAACTTTTCATGTAGGAATAAAGAAATCTATTCCTTACACATTATGCAATGAATTCAAAATTTTACACCTATTTCATCCTGTTAATATACACAGTATTGTGTCAATTGACATAAAGGTGTAAAATTTTGAATTCACAGAAACTTGTAAATGATGAAACAAGACTTAAAACCAATATATAAACAACTTTTAATATCAAAAGGAAACATAAATGATAATTGATCTGCCTACCTATTTTGCTTGTTTAGAACTTGATGAATTTATTATTTCACCTCCAGTTGTAGTTTCAAGGACAATGGTATGAATAAAATACAGTATTTCGTTGCAAAAAGAAATTTGATGGAAATTGATAACTTAAAATGTATTGACTGGAGTGCTTTTAAAATTTGGGGACCAAAAAAGTGCAATATATCTGAATCTGCAATATAACAAGAGGCTACTGTATATAAATATACAAAATATACATATATGTAGTTTTGTATTCAATATGAAAATTAAATTCTTATTTCTGGAATTTGTACAAAATTGGAAAATATTGCAGCAAAACCTGATATTATTCACTTTAATTCATTTTATTTTCATATACTGAAACTTCTTCTGTTAATAATGGCCTTTATTGCCTTCTGATTGACTCCGAATTGCCTAGCTAGCTAGGTCTTTGATGTGCTCTAATTCTTTGACGTCTTCATTTTCTGGAAAGAAAAACCACACATACAACAATTTATCAGAGATGTCAATTTCAACAAGTTCAGCCTAGAACTCAAGCTAGAACAAGAGAATGATAAAACTATACATTTACTAAAACTGCAGTTATGAATGAAATTGTGGTTAGATAGAATATAATTACTGTATTTCATGGCATAGAAGATGCAACTTTTATTCAAGAAAAATATAAAAAGGCTGAAAAAATTGCCATATGTCTTATATGTGAAGTTTCAATCTCTCATAGGCTAATTAATTTTCCAAGTGAGTAAGCTACAGGTAATCTCTGCCTAATCCAACTTTTGAATAAAAATGTTTTTTAATTAAACACATTACAATTATTATTTTCTTTTTGTTATAGCTAAGCTGCTTTTGCATGTATTCATGTAGAAAATATTAATGGTTTTCTATTAATGGACTTCTTTTAAATGCCTGTTTTTCCCTAGTAAATAAAAGTGTATGTTCTAATTTTTTTTTAAACCAGAATACAGTAAAAAAAAAATTGGTGCCAAAGGCATGGGATGGCTTAAATACATTAAATACTTTTTCCTAAATATTTTGTGTTGAAATGGAGGTGTGTCTTATATACATAAAATACAGTAATAGAAATTAATCTCATTTTTTACTAACATCCACCAAAATAATGGTTGCAAAATAAATATTGTTTGTTTAACAGTCTTTCTGGCATTATTCCAATGCAAACATCAATTTATCATCTAGTTTTACAATTCTTTCAATGTGATTTAATTGATTGTTGATAATGATAATAGCAATTTATATATGTAATTGAATTTTTATATTTTAGGGAATATTGAATTAATTATAATTATGACTATACTCTAATTCTAATTTAGTTTTTTAAAAAAATTCATATTTTCATACCAGAATTAATGATGAATTATTAATAGATAATTAGCAATTAAATATTAAAGACTATAAAATTTATTTTGTATTGCAGACTTTACATTAAAATCTCTTCATCTTTGCATACAAGGATATCAGGATTATCAGAATGGCTTTCATAATTACCATTTGGATACAAAGCTTGCAGTTATCGGTAGTGATAAGATATTAATTAATGAGGTAAATACATTTTTAAAAAATTATTTAATTTGAAATGAATTTTATTAATATCAAGAAGAATAAATATTTTTATATTTTTATAGATTTTTCCTCAGAATACTCATCACCATCAATGTGGCCTTATGTTCTTTAATACTGGAACATATTTCTTAGACATCAAATGTAGTAGCAGTGACTATAGAACCAAGTACAATACTCTTTCAGATTCTCAGATCAAAACAGCACAAATTACCTCAGAATCTCACAACAAATCCATTTACACATGGAAATTTACTCCAACTATAGAATTAACTATTTTAGAAGATTAATTTATAATTTATTGATTGTTGTTATTGTTACTTAATTTATTCTTATTATTTTGTAAATTTATATCTTTATGGTTTAATTTTGAGACATTTACGTTTACAGTCGACCCCCTATAAGATCATTGATTTTTCCGTTTTATCTGAATTACATGTTGTACGAGTCACTTAGATTTTACAAATACGTGTTCCGGACTGTGAATGGCTCACATATTTGTAAAATCTAAGTGACTCGTACAACATGTAATTCAGATAAAAAGGAAAAATCAATGATCTTATAGGGGGGTCGACTGTAAAAAAACAAGGAAAAAGATACATTGTATACGCATACTATGTTCTTTGATAGAAACAATTTTTAGTTTGGTATATAATGAGAAATTTTAAAATTTAAATAAAGATATTATTTTTCAAATAAAAGACAATTTTGATAGAAATTTAAGAAAAATATTAAGATTACTAAAATAAACTAATATTTATGACAATAGTTTAATAAGAAAAAATGTCAGTTTAAAAATTTTATTTGAGAAATTATCTATAGAAAATTTTAAAACGATCGTAAACTTACGTTCTTTACAAGTCATTTTCTTGTTAATAAATGATGTAACATGAGTCATAAGTAAGAACCTTACAAGCAAATATGATAGTTTGTGTCTAAGAGGGGGGATATCAAACTAGTATTCGTGCCATAAATTTAATAATAAAATTTTATACTCATAAAATGTAGACATTTTCACAAAATGAGAGATTAATAAACAGTATGTTTTATGAGTTTATACTTTACTAAAAAGAAAAAAAATGGTTCAAATAGAAAATTTTATATCCAGTTACAGTTATTGAGTACTTACTTATAAATTTAAATTATTTTTCTTTGTAAGAAAAGAAATATTTAATTTTCTTACATTCAATATGATCTCCAATTTCAGTTCTAGTCATTGGTTTGTTGTATTTTCAAAAATTTTGTAACAAATTTTAATAAGAATAATATTAATTTATTATTATTGTAAGTTTGTTTGTATTTATAAAAAGATGTAAAACAAATTATTTTTCTGTGTAATATTTCCATAAAAATCATACAAGTATGTATTGTCATTTGATTAGTCATTTGATAAAGTAATTTTTCAATGGTATCTGTTTTTTTTTTTTTTTACTTAAATAAAAATATATTATCAAGGCGGCTTGGGCTGGTGGCATCCCAGGTTTCTGAATTGCCTCAAAATTATCCCATTATTTTTTGGGATTAGATTTTTGTTGATTTTAGCTTGAGATTTTATGAAAATTATTCATCTTGTCCAAATTTCATGTAATAATGAAAGTATCTGGAAGGTCTTTTAAAGGTTTGTAATGCATGTGAAGTTGTTATTGATAATGCTAGTGCAAATTTTTATGAAAAAAAATCTATTTTAAAACAATGTTAAAACAAAGGATAAAACATGAAGATTTATAGTATGTTATTTTATCATTAAATTGTTTTTAGAGAACTTATTAAAATTGAAAATTTTAAAGATGATAAAGAAAAACATTAAAATAATTTTAGAGTTTAGAAATTCTCAAAATTTTTTTGCACTAATTGAAATATTTCATTTTCAATGGGACAATATTTTTTTCTCTTAAAATATCATAAGAAATATTAACAACAATCTACTGTTTAATTATCATCATTAACAATTTCAGTGTAGGTCTTAAAACATACTTGGTTACGAAATTTGGATTTTTTAGTCATTCAGTTATTGTGTATCACAGTTAAAAGTTTATGGAGGTTTTAATAGAAAAACCGCGCAAATCCGATAAACTTTTGTATGCTATGTAGCATCCGGATTTTGTTATAGTTTCGAAAATAATTGAGTTATTTAACTGTTCCATTTGCTGATTTATATCGTTTGATGAATGATCCGTTGTTAAAATTGTACTTAAATTCGTAATTTTTATATTCAAATCAAGAATGTATTTTGTTTTCTTTAGAAAAAGCTTAAATAACATATGTTGCAGCTATACATTTCAAAGATAAATATTATAAAACATTCATTTACCTCCGAAATGTATAGCCGCAGCTTTTAATTAATTTATTATCGCAGGCGAAAGCCACACAATTCGTCGAAATTTTAAACGCAATATGACCAAAAACCCCGGTAATATGGTGGGCATCGGAGAGAATAGGCACCGGGCCACAGATCCACCGCTCTAGTTATATTTCCTTATAGTATAGAATTATAGAATAATCGTGGCAAAATTTGTTTCTTACCCGCTTGGTTTCTTCTGGATGGCCACAAATTTGCCTAATTACATATCTTCTCCATTAATATTTCCATAAAAAAGCGATAGATTTTCATCTAGAATTACACGATCCCGACTGTGGTGATCGCCGTAACGAAAAGTAGCGATTTTAGAATTTTCTCTACCAGCAATATGTGAAGTTTCGAGTTTGATGCAGGATTCAAGTTACCTCAGTCCAAAAATTTCGTGGATTTGGACTAGCTTTATCACTACCTACCGATTAGCGGCCGAGTAGCTACAACCATTGAATACATATTTGGTTGCGGGTTCCTAACAGACTGACCACGTAGAGTTTTACAAATTTTTTCACGTGTGTAACACCTCAATAGGGACCAGTTTAATATAAAGAGTCGTCCTCCCTCGGAAGATCGCCTAAGTGTTGCGTTGCCTTATCTATCAACTGACCAACCTTAATTTAATTAACATATATTTGAAAACAACCTATAACTATTCACTCATTGACTGATATGAAATGGGTCATATTTTAACTCCAGGAAAGTTCAGTCTCTCATAGCTAGGCCACTCCATCCTGGGCCTGGCCAATCCCACAATAGGCATTGTACAAAAAAAGACCCTCTTAGGGCCTACAGGACACTTCTTCAATTTAAAAATATCCAAATTAACTGTAAAACTAAATGTATAATGACGAATTGACGAATCAACTTCTCATAACACCTTTCCTGATAGGCTAGTGCCAGGGTCGAAATTCTCCTTGTAAATAGACTTCAGTCAGAACTACCGCAATAATTAATTTACATAATAAAAATAGATTTCTTTCTTTCTTCTTCGATGGTGTTTATATGGAGATTTTAGCTCAATGTAGGCTCTTTCTCCGAGTAGACTTGTGTATATGTATGATCGCTAGGCGACCGATTAGCCGGCTGTATCGAACAGCCATACGTACGCGCGGGAAATAAATGCCTTCCGGGAGGACTTTTATGGGGAACTGGCCTCCTATCGAACAGCCATACGTACGCGCGGGAAATAAATGCCTTCCGGGAGGACTTTTATGGGGAACTGGCCTCCTATTCAGTCGTTATAGGCAAGGAGAAAACCCGGAAAACTCCAAGCAGCCAGCCTGTCCGACCGTGGTGCGAACCCACGAGGAACCTCCCAGTCTTTAGTAAAAATAGATTTATATTTTATTGAAATATTTTTTAATTGAAAAATAACAAATCTCTTTTACACTATTTTAAAAAGTTTTACAAATACTGAAGGATGAAATATGATAAAGTTTGTTTCGTTCGAATTTAATACAGTATATTCATTTCACATTTTGACGTCAAACTCTTCTCAGTTCAGTAAGTCAATTTTAGTCTGAATCTTGGATTGATATCAATGGGTGTTAGGTTTGGCTCATTCGATACCTTGAGGATGCGCCTAGGACTCGAAGAGAGTCCATTGCCTTCCAAATCTTTCGAATACTGAAGATTTTAATGCTGCGGGATCAGACGGAAATCCATTGGATTCTAGATCTTCGGAAGTTGGAAATGCTTCAAGGAATCGGACGGAAATCCATTAACTTCTAAATTTTTCGAATGTTATGCTGAACGCTCTTCTACCTCTTTTCATCTCTGCTTCCTCTACCATTCTTTCTATATTTGTTGATCTTCATTCCAAGACAGTAATCCAGAAAACTCTTCATCTCTTCACTCGTATTTCTTCTCGAAAATCTCAAAGCAAACAAACATGCATTTCGATAACCATCGAAAACTCAAAAAATATTGCTGACCAGCGCTAACAATGAATATACATTGTTGAAAAATGTTATTTTATCTGCAAACTTTTCTTTTTTTATTCTTCTTCGAGTTTAAAGAAGTGATTTAGTTCTCGATTTTAGTAGTGCCTTGCCCCTGTACATCATACTTTTCCTGATAACAACAGAGTCAGCCCGTCATCTAACTACATTCTGGAGAAAATTTTTGAATTGAAATCTCATGATTTCTGGTCCTTACCGGAAGTTTATCTATAGTTAATTGGGGCCTCCTATCACTAAAGTTTCCATATCTTGTCTCGATTTATACGCTGGTTAAATGGAAAAGAAAACCATTCCAGTAATTATATATTACTTCTTCATAACATTGAAGTGTACAAAAATAAAATATGTAGGCTGAAAGAATATAATTTTTTATATTCATTTTAAAATAATGATGCGAGAGATTAAATAATATAAATTTTCATTTTTTTAATGAATTTATTTTTTGTTTAATTTGCTATAAAGTAATATCTTTAAATTATTATTAGAGAAAATAATTTTAGAATAAAAATATTCAAATAATTTTTAATTTGTAGAAAATTTATGTAAAATATTTCATTTTTTTTATAGGACTTTATTTTTTCTCTTATATTCTTATTAAATTTTTAAAATCTTTAATAATAATGACATTATATATTGATTTTCACAATAAAAAAAGAAAAAAATTGAATCTTTAATTGTTATGATTCTTTCTGATATTTTAGAAAATAATAGAATATGTATCTACTAATAAAGAAGGAATAAGGGCCTTATTTAGACTTGTGGTTCTATATTATTTCATATGAGGCTTCTCTTCCTATATGAAATCATAACTAACAAGGGTGGTCATCACATATTTCAGTAATATTGTTTATGTGGTATGAACCGTTATTGAGCAAAGAACAAAAATAATCGACGTTAAACAATTATTTATTGTGATATCATCATAAGGCCAGGCTGCAATTTTTCGTCACAATGCTATCGATTTCAGTAGTGTATTGCTCCTGTACTTCATACTTTTCCTATTAACAATAGAGTCATGCCGGTTATCTATCTAATTCTTTCAGGAGAAAATTTTTGTATTAAAATAACGTGATTTCC